GCGGATGCAAAAGCAAAGAGTCCTTCATTTCAAACCTAAGTTTGCTCCCCTGCCACACTCACCGATGCAACGGTAAGCCCCAGTGGCCGAGAGAGCGAGGCCTGATGGGATTGTGGGTTTTATAGTAAGGGCAGGGGAGGGGACTGTGGGCCCTGCCGATTGGCCAGGCGCGATTCGGGTCTTGTTACACAGGATGTGGTCATCTCTATGGCGCACATGTTCCTTGATTGTCATTGGTTAGTTTAAAGAAATCCCGGCTTCCGGGAAGAAGGTACTTTCCTGAGCACATGGCGACTGCCCCAACATGGAGGATCCGGGGTAAGACGGAGGGCATAGCCCTCGCCCTTTCAATTAACAGGAAAGGAACAAAGGGAAGGCCAGATAATATAGGCATGCCATTTATGTCAGGTAGCTGAAATTTTGTTCCACGCAGATCCTGGACAAAGGAAAACTAGATGCATACCTAGTAAGGTCTGGGTGACATAGGGAAGGTACTCAGTCACACCTGTGAACAGGTCATTGGCCAGAATAGATGTGGCCATTGCAAACTTGGGAAAATTTGATACACATGTCTTATAACATGAAGAACTGCTTCTGAACAAAGGAGCTCTCTCTCTTTCACACTTGGCTACTGGCGCTCTAGTCACAGGGGGTGCACTCCACTGCATTACCTACATGGCTCATGGCCATGTGGACCCCACACATAATGGACTGATGGATTATAATTAGTCTGATACTACACTGGCCCGAACTCCATCATGGAATGGAAACTCTGGACACTGGCTTTGCTTTTAGTTCTACTGAATTCCCAGTTGTACTTCTTCCAAAACTGGTTTAAGGGAAACGGGACTTTGCAAGACAAAGGATATAATTCCATGCAAATAGAGCTTTCTACTATAGCTCATCCTCCCTTGGGGGCCTCCGGAAATTCTTATTCCAATGGTACCCCAAGAACCCCACTCCCGCTAGCAAAGGAGAAGGGCAATCCATGCAATTCTCCCATAAAACTTTCATCTTGGAGTTTGCTATTTTCATCAGTCTCTCATAGCCTCCTGGACCCCAGTTATACTCTAATAAAACTGATTTTCTAAAGTCATTCTGTAATAATAATGATGATGGTACTAATATAAAATAGTTAGTGTTACTATTTGAGTCCTACTCAGTACTTTTCTAGGTACTTTACATGGGATCTCATTTAATTCTCACAACAACACTCTCGGGCAGTGATGGCGAACCTTTTGAGCTCGGTGTGTCAGCATTTTGAAAAACCCTAACTTAACTCTGGTGCCGTGTCACATATAGAAATTTTTTGATCTTTGCAACCATAGTAAAACAAAGATTGATATTTTTGATATTTATTTTATATATTTAAATGCCATTTAACAAAGAAAAATCAACCAAAAGAATTCGCGTGTCACCTCTGACACGCGTGTCATAGGTTCGCCATCACTGCTCTGGGGTATTATACTCTAGGGTCAAGAGCTTTGAACACCATGTGCATAGATTTGAACCCTAGGTGTAGTGCTTTCTATCTGTAACATCTTAGGTAAATTATTTAACCTCTCTGTTTTAGTTGCTTCACTTGTAAGTTGAGAATAATACCTACCACCTATCTCAAAAGGAAGCTGAAACATAGGGAGCTTAAGTAACCCAAGATCACATGGATTTGCATGATTTGGCATTAGAACCCAGACCATTTTGTTCACCACTTTATTTTCTTTTCAGTGCTTTGGGTGATCCAGTTGATAAAACCAATGATTTATTAATTTTTATTCTTTCTGATCTTCCTGTAGCAATTGGTAATATCTCTTCTCCATATTTAAACTCTTTGCTGGTTTCCACATCACTGGGACCTTGATTCACCATGTGCCCCAAGTGACATCTAAACTTCATTTCATTTTATCCCTTCTTTGTGTGTACTCCCTAAAATTTTTTTTTTAAGCTTTGCTCTCCTCCCTTACCTTCCCTGTGAACTTCCTGTAGGACTAGAAGTTTAGGTTATAATTTCCAAAATCTCTAGCTAGACCTCTCTCCTGAGTTCCAGATTCTTGATTTCAACTTGAATGCCCTTTCGGTATCTGAATTTCAATAGTGTTGATCCTTGAGTATTGTAGTATTGTGATTTGAATATATCCATCTGATTAAAATACAGCTTTTGTTGTTGTTGTTATTTTGTCTACTTATGTGGCTGAAGAAAAGCAACTTCTAGGAGTGGGGAAAAATATTGGCTCCCTGTTTCTTGTTCACTTGTGTTTACATGAATACTTTCTACAGTTTATTTCTTTGGAATAATTTTTCAAAGGGATTATTTTGTGTTAGGTTATCTAATGCTAGATACTATTCTTAAATCCATCACCTAAACTTTAATACCTTGTAATATGCTGAAAGAAAATTGGAGAGGGAGAATACAAACTTTGGTAAGGTATGTGATACAAGACAGCTGACTTATAGAATGAGTGAGGATGCCTGTGTCAGTGTTTATATTGACTAGTAGTAATTTTTAATTTCTTCCTTATTTCTTTAGGTTAAAAATATAAATATAATTATATACATTTTTCTTTGTATCCTAGTGGATAATTTTATGTACCTTCTGTGATATGCATAATTAACTTTGAATATTAGTGGTCTACTTTATAGGATAAAGGTTTAACTGTTCAGCATGGTATACAAGTTCCTATACGTTTTTATTTTAATTTTTGTTTCAAGTTACTTTTCACTTCAGTGGTCACTTCTCTTTTCATAGCGTATCTTGCAGCTTCATTAAACTATTCTTATTCCTGATCTTTGTTTACATTACTCTTTAGTCTGAAATATCCTTACTTTTTACCTCTTCATGATAAAATTTTCCCTGTTAGGAACCAGCATACACATCACCTCTTTTGGGGAGCTGTTCTTGAGAAGGCAGTACAGTGGCAAATTGTATAGACTATAGTTTCTAATGGCGATATCTGACTGGATTTTCATGGAAAGTTCTCTTGCTTAGGACAGATTAATGAACTTTGATGTGCTTTATTTCCCTATTTGAAAACAAAGATACTAATACTATGTATTTGTTGAGTTGTTGAGATTATTTCAATAAGATTATATATGTGAAATATCTGGCACACGGTGAATTCTTTATAAATGACACCATTATTATCAATTCTAAGATGCATTTAAAAATATTTTAATCTTGTAATCGATGTATATTTAAAGTATTGTTTACATCACTTCCAGACAGGTATTATTAAATTAAAAGTGCACTTTTATTGTTGATGGCATCTTCAAATTAAAATATCTTGGTGACTGCCTTTCTTGTGCTCTTAGCATTTATACATACCTGTTTTAGGATTTCGTGTTTTATTTATGTAGCTGTTATTTTGTCTCATCCATTTCCTCTTTTTGTCTTGTGAACTTTTCAAGGTCAAGGATCTCCTTTGTATTTGCAATGTGTAAACATATCACCTGGCACACAGTAGACTATCAATAGATGTTGATTGGAAGAGTTTCCTTATTTTTCTTTCTGCTAATATAGTGTTAATTCGACATCTTTTTACACTTCAAAGTAGAGTCATTAGATTTGCATTCTGGTGTTTCTCAAACCCACATTGATTCTTTTGGTAGTTTAGCATGGTTAATATTTAAGTTATAAAATAATTCCTGATCTTAGAAGTTAAATACAAATGAAAGTTCTGCTTTTATTTTTCAAGAACGCTTACTGAAGATGACCTTAGAGGAAAGACGCAAAGAATACCTAAGGGACTACGTTCCCCTGAACACTATTCTATCGTGGAAGGAGGAAGTGAAGGGCAAGAGCCAAAATGATGGTAAGTTTCTCAGAATATTTTTCAGGTAGATACTGTTGCCATTTTTTTTTTATGACTTCTGCAGGACAGTTTTTGGCAAAAATGAATAATAGGAATTCAATAAAGAGACGACAGGTTTGCTATTTTAAATCATTGTCAGTTGTCATTTAATTACTTTTAGCAATCTATTATATATTATTTAAAGTTAGAAAATTATTATTTTTAAAATTTTTTAAAGTTCTAACCCTAACCTTAACCCTAACCATTCTAAAATATACCACAATTATATTATGGTACTTTTTTATGGGTACTTTTAAAAAATTACATTGCAGTAGTTTTTGGAGCAAATGATATTAGAGATTATGGTGTGACTCTTTGAGTTTGTTTTGATTAGGTTTACTTATATTGGATTTCTTCAGTTGTATTTTAAGGATTGGATATGTTTCAAAGACAGTGTATCAAAAAGAATAGAGAAAAACCAAATAACACTTCACATAATTTTAGAGAAGAGTATACAGGGTGTCCCTAAAAAATGTATATACACTTTAATAGCTGATAGCTCAATTTTGAAAATGAAATGCATTTTTATAAACATTGCCTTTATAATTACTCAAAGTGTGTTTATACATTTTTGGGGGTCTGGTATTATATCTACATATAAAGTATTATATGACAAATTTACTCTTTATCAAACTTGTTATGATTTAGAGTATAGATTGTTTGAGGGGAAAATATATGTATTAGAATATAAATGAAATTTTACTATTACAAAGGTTCATGGAAGAAAATTCTAAAAGCAACATAGTAAATTTAATGTATGTTTAATATGTTTATTTCTGAATTAACATTTATTGGTGTTTATGGTCTGGATGTCAAGTTTAAAAGAAATAGGGTGCTTTTTAGGATATGTACAGTTGAGAAACAAAGGTAACTTTAAAAAAGGAAATTGGAGCATGCTGATTTCACAGATTGTGGTCTTTGATGGAACTATACAGGATATTATGGCCCAAAATAAGAGGACTAGCATGGAGTTCCTATGGACAAAATCTGTGGGAAGTAGCAGTCAAATTAAGATTTAGAACCTGTGAAGAAAACACATTGACCTGAGAGTTTGGGGTTTTAGACAGAATTTTGTTTTTCTAGGAAGGCAAATCATGTGGGTTCTTTTAGACCTTTCTCTGCCTGGAAAAGTGTGCCCTTGGCAAGTGGGTAGTGTGTTTACCCCTAGTTCTAGTGGGGGTCATTAGCTGATTGGGATGTACAGATCTGACCTCCTTGCACAGTGTCTTAAGTAAATGCAAGTTATTTTAATAATAGTCTAATCAAGACATCATTGAAAGAGTAGGTAGTGCTGTGTAATGTAAAGAATACAGAGCTAGATATCAAAAGGACAGAATTCTGGGCCTTCTCTGACCTAGGGCTATGTGCCCCTTACTCTTTGGGTCTCAATTATTTCTTTTGTTTATATGAAGCTGGTATTGAATACTTCAGCTTTACTTTTTATACTAATAAACCTCTCTTTTTCCCGTGCTTCCTTCATCTGGTTTTCTTTCTTGGTCACAGTTTTAGCTGGTCAGTTTTCTAAGGATGCAATACATGATGTTCTTTTAAAAATGTTTTTGACTCCTGAGATAGAGTTAGATTCCTGTTGCTGCCACAATTGACAAAGCAGTAATGAAACCCAGGCCGCATTGCCCAAGGTTGGGTTAGCTCACCTCTGCATAGAGGTTTGGCCTTTATGTTGGCTGCTTCTACTTGAACATTCAGTATGTAACAGTGTAGGATTGAACTGGGTTATTAAGAAGTCAGTGTTAGATGTTTTTAGAGACACTACACACCAAAATGTGTCCCCCAAATCAGATAAGATACATTAACCTCTGACATTGTTATTCCCTAACAAGATCCGGTGTATTTATTTAATCCTATTTCCCAGTATGAGTGTTATAAGTGATTTACAACTGCTCTATGTATTTCAGTTTTTTCCTTCATGCTTTTCGAAAATGACAGGCCTTCATGGGGAACTAGGTGATATGATCAAAATTGTATTTCTATTAAACAGTGCTTTATTCCCTTCATTAAATGTTACTTGTTCCTCTCTGTTGTGATGTAGAACTTGGTGACTGCCCCCTTCTTTTTTCATGAAAGAGAATGGCTCATTCTACATGTAATATCTGTTAATTTCTTTGTATAATATATATGTTTTCTAAGTACTTCCTTCTAGTGTTATGTATCTAGTCTTAGATAACTAAAATATTGGTCAAAAGAATTTTAGTATTTTTACAGTTTGAAAGATCTTTGAAAAATATAAATTCCAAAAATCAAAGGGCAATTATAAATATAGTTATATTTTTATATTCTATTTTGAAACGTTTAAGCTTGTGAACTAACTGCTTATAAATGTATATGTGTAGATATTGATATTTGTAGCTTTATTTTTTAAATATGAGATTTCAAACTAAGTTTTAAAAGAAGATAATTTATAATTCTTTGTCACACAGTTTCTTTTAAATTTAGTTTATTATTATCTCTGCCTTTATAGAAGTTCATTTGGTCTTGATATCCATAATTACATGGAAACTTCTTAAGCTATTGTTTAAAAAAATTTTTTTTTACTTTGCTCAGTTTTCTTTTATTTAATTAAATGTTTATTGTTATATTGTAGTAGAAAGTTTAAAAAGGAGTGGAGAGACTGAATATGTTACTCATATTTTGATTTTAATCTGTCCTAATAAAAGGAAGCCAAAAATTGCCAAACAATATAAAATCAATGTTTGTGTAGAAAGAAAAAAGCAAGTAGATAATACAGGGTGGGGCAAAAGTATGGAAAATAATCCTATATAATAAAACCCTAATATGCAAATGGACTGAATGATGGAACGATTGTTCGCTATGACGTGCACTGACCACCAGGGTCAGATGCTTAACGTAGGAGCTGCCTCCTGGTGGCCAGTGCACTCCCACAGGGGGAGTGCCGCTCAGCCAGAAGCCGGGCTCACGGCTGGCAAGTGCCTCTGCTGCAGGCGGCCAGTAAAGAGTGAGGTGTCCCAGACTGCAAGAGCCCTGGACTGTGACATTGCAGATTAGTAGTTTTATAGCTAGCTTTACTCAGTGGCAGGTAAGTTTCTATTGAACGAGTACAAAAATGGTTTGACATAAATGTTAAAGGCAAGCTTTAAAATTAAATACCCATTGCATTTTGAAGTTACTTATTACATGTTCTTACAAGCTAATATCTTTTTAAAGTATGATAAATTGTAAAACACTGTGTAATATGAAGCGAGAATTCTCATGATCTGTCCGCAATGTGTTAATAAATAATAATACAAGAATAAACTGTGTTTCTCCTACTGACAACTGTAAACCTACTTTTACCGCAATGTATTTTCACATTGACATACTACTTTGGTAATCTTGGAAAGCTATGGATCAGAAGTGGTAAGTAATGGGAGATGATACCAAAACCAAAACAGAAATCCATTTGTTTATTATTCATGTTCATATTTATCAATACTATTAGTAAATCTCTTGAATTATATGCTTCTAGTTACTTCTTCCTCTGTATTAGCAATTATGTAATAATTCTCTTTTACTTCTCAGTTGCTTTGTTGTAGGGAATTTAAAAATGCTCATCTCTCCTATTATATTGTCTCTAGCATTTGGAATAGTGCTTCATGCATAGATAGGCTCAATCAGTATGTTATATAAGAATATCTCAAAGGTTAACAGTCTACAAAGGGCAGTTCTTTTTTTTCAAACTTTAAAATGAGCATTTAAGAACATACAAAAATAGAGAGTATAATGAAGCTTTATGCACCCATTACTCAATTTCAACAGTTAATATGTGGCTAATTTTATTTCAGCTATACCAAAGCTCTCTGTACCTTTCTCCAGACTATTTTGAAACAAATCCTATACATCATATCACTTTTATCTATAAACATATCTATGTATGCATATGTATATATTTCTAAAAGATAGGGATGCATTTTTATTGTTTTAATATAACCACAATACTATCATAACATCTAAAAATTAATAATTCTTTAATATAATAAAATATATAATTAGTATTCATATTTTCCTGTATCATAAAGGGTTTTGCTTTCTTTGTATAGTTGGTTTGCTTGCTTGAGTCAAGATCTAAACAAGGTCCACATATTCTCTTAATTTATATATTTCCTAAGTCTCCTTTAGTCTACAATTTCTTTTTTCTCTGTCCTTTCCCTGCTTTGTAATTTATTTAATGAATAAAGTAGGTTGTTTGTCTTATAGAATTTTTTACACTTTGCATTTTGCTGACTGCATCTTTGTGTTGTCATTTAACATGTTCCTCTTTCCCCTGTATTTCTTATGAGCGGTAAATACAGAGGCTTATCAGACTTGAGTTTAATTATTTGAAATAATACTTTATAGGTTGTTGTACTTTCTGTCTTGTAATATTAGAAGGCACATAATGTCTGGTTCTCTCTCTCTGTGGTGATAAAACTGGTCACTAGTTGAAGTATTATCAGGCTAATTCATCCATTGTAAAGCTCCCTATCAACTTTTCACCTAAATTACTTTAGTAGCCATTAATGATCATTATTTTTAGGGGTTATAAAATAATGTTATTTTAATATTATCATTCATTTTTCATTTATTAGTTGAACTTATATAAAGAAATTGTTTTGAATCGAGTTTTTTGTTTTCATGCATCACAGTTTATACAAAAAAGGAAGAATAAATGCTAGATTTCTTCTTTCTTACCAGTTTGCAGGTTGAGTTGGTTCTTTGAAATTTAAAATGACTAAACAGGAAAATGGTATTTAAAACAGGATGGGCCGAAACCAGTTTGGCTCAGTGGATAGAGCATCAGCCTGCGGACTGAAGGGTCCCAGGTTTGATTCCGGTCAAGGGCATGTACCTGGGTTGCGGGCATATCCCCAGTGGGAGATGTGCAGGAGGCAGCTAATCGATGTTTCTGACTCTATCTCCCTTCCTCTCTGTAAAAAAATCAATAAAATATATTAAAAAAAAAAAAA